ACCCTCACCCCCCTCCCTCATCAGGCAACACTGACCCCCACCTGCCCTCCCCCGCAGGTGAACCTGGTGATCCAGACGGAGGAGGGCGACCTGAGCAACTACGTCACCAACGGCGAGTGGGACCTCATCGACATGATTGTGGACAGGAACGTGGTGTTCTACTCGTGCTGCGAGGCGCCCTACCCGGACATTACCTACCACATCATCCTCAGACGGCGACCTCTCTTCTATGGTCAGTGTACCCACTCTCTTCTTGTGCCTCAGGCGACCGCCTCTCTTCTATGGTCAGTGCCCCCGCTCTCTTTTTGTGCCTCAGGCGACCACCTCTCTTCTACGGTCAGTGCCCCCGCTCTCTTCTTGGCCGCCCAGCGAGGGTGTTCACGGGTGAGGATAAGTGTGGGAGAGTGTTTAGGAAGGTGTGGGGTGGTGTGGATATGTCGGGGAGGGTGAAGAGGGATGTAGGATGATGAGGGTGAGTGGATGAGTGATATTGTTTGATGATGTTGCTGATTTGGGGAGTGTGTAGAAGAGTGTGGGTCTCACGTGGGCCAGCCAGCATTGGTGTGGGAGGGTGTCTAGGAGTAGAGGGTGCCAAGGGGTGTTAATGGGTGTGGAAGCGCTTACAAACGTGCAGAAGACGCGAATGGGTATTGAAGGACGCAGGTGGGTGTAGAAGGCTGCAAGTGGCCGTAAAAAGATGGAGTTAGGGGGTAGTAGGACGCATGTGGATGTAAAAGGATGCAGGTGGTTGAGGTTATCTTGAGGTGGGTGTAAAAAGCTGCAGAGAGCTAATGGAGACCAGGAAAGTGTATGTGCAGAGACATGGGGAGGGGGGGGGGGGGCCGGGTGATGGGAAGGGGGTGTGTAGGAGGAGATTGGAAGGGTGTGTTTAGTGGGAGATAGCGATGGTGTATAAGGAGACACTGGGCAGGGTATGCGTAGTTGGAGATGGGGTTAGGAGGGAAGAGAATTATCAGGAGAAAGCGCCGAGCCATTACGACTATATAGCACTGGAAAGGGGTCAGGATAAGGATTTGGGATGGGACGGGGGAGGGGGAGAGGAATGGTGTCCAACCACTTGGACGGTCGGAGATTGAACGGCGGCCTGCATGAAGCAAGACCGTGGCTCTACCGTCCACCACAAGTGGTTGGGATAGGAGAGTATGAGGAAGACAAGGAGGGTGCATTATGGGGGCGACAGGGAAAGTGTGGAGAAGGGGGAGGTTGTAAAAATGGGGAGGATGTGTATGTGGGAAATTGGGGGAGGGGCGAGACCTGTATGGGTGTATGGGAGAGGCCTGGCCAAAGGGTACCACATCTAGTGTCTATAAAATAGAATGTATGTTTATCTGTCCAAGGCTGGAGACCAGACACTTAGGGCTAGCCTCATTAACTTTACAGGATTAATTGTGATTTTATCAGGAGTGTCAGAGGAAGGTCGGGGTGGGCTCAGCCATTGTCTCTCCTTCACGAGTTTCATGGCTGTGAAATGTTCAACTTTGAGTTCATTCACTTTAGCATTAAATCAAATAATAGTGAATTCAGAGATTGGCCTTCAAAACTTATGTTTAAATAGCAGTGTTGTATTCTGGGCACAATATTATGGTTATAGTGACAGAGAAGAGGCGTGTGTGGGCAGGGGGAGAGAAAGACAGGGAAATATGTGTAAATGAAAACCTGCTGCCAATATACACCAAAATATATCTATATTCATGTATATAGCATTGGCGGTAAATTACTTTAACCCTTGTTACAGACCTGCCTTACTACTGACTCCCTTACCTCGACCATTACTCACTAAAATGTTATCTACCACATTTTAACCCTAGATCACAACCCGCCCCCATCGCTCCAGACACCGCTTGCTCCCCTATTCTGCCCCTTACACTAACCCTTACTCGTAAGAGTCAGGGGTAACTGCAGAAGCCCTGTTGGCCCATAGTAGGCAGCTGCTATTTACATATATGTATATAAATGTCTATATAACCTTTACTCGTACACGTCGTGTATGGCTGGCGTGGTGACTAAGGAGACCTGGCATCCCCCACAGTGTTCAACCTGATCCTGCCGTGTGTGTTGATCACGGGCATCGCCCTCATGAGCTTCTACATGCCCAGTGACTCCGGCGAGAAGGTCACCCTGGGCATCACCACCCTCCTCTCCATGACCGTCTTCCTCATGGTCATTGGCGAGTCCATGCCGCCCACTTCAGAGAAACTCCCTCTCATTGGTCAGTATGGGGGGAGGGGCTTAAAGTTTGTGTTGATTGGTTAATATGGGGAGAGGGGAGGGGCTTGGGTTATATTTTCATTGGTGTGTTACATAATGGGAGGAGCCACAGGGCTTGGGAGATATTGTTATTTTCTCCCGCAGATGTGGTCATTCCTCCATGGGTGTGTTAGACAACAGTACTGTAGTGAGGCGCTCAACACCAGCAGCTGACTGTAGTGTAGTGAGGCGCTCAACAACAGCAGCTGACTGTAGTGTAGTGAGGCGCTCAACACTCAACAACAGCAGCTGACTGTAGTGTAGTGAGGCGCTCAACAACAGCAGCTGACTGTAGTGTAGTGAGACGCTCAACACTCAACAACAGCAGCTGACTGTAGTGTAGTGAGGCGCTCAACAACAGCAGCTGACTGTAGTGTAGTGAGGCGCTCAACACCAGCAGCTGACTGTAGTGTAGTGAGGCGCTCAACACCAGCAGCTGACTGTAGTGTAGTGAGGCGCTCAACACCAGCAGCTGACTGTAGTGTAGTGAGGCGCTCAACAACAGCAGCTGACTGTAGTGTAGTGAGGCGCTCAACACTCAACAACAGCAGCTGACTGTAGTGTAGTGAGGCGCTCAACACTCAACAACAGCAGCTGACTGTAGTGTAGTGAGGCGCTCAACAACAGCAGCTGACTGTAGTGTAGTGAGGCGCTCAACACTCAACAACAGCAGCTGACTGTAGTGTAGTGAGGCGCTCAACAACAGCAGCTGACTGTAGTGTAGTGAGGCGCTCAACACTCAACAACAGCAGCTGACTGTAGTGTAGTGAGGCGCTCAACAACAGCAGCTGACTGTAGTGTACAAGCTGACTATTCGTACAAGTGAAGGTTCATACACGGAGGATGACAAAGAAATTAGTGAAATCCTAAAAAAGCAGTATGAGGACATGTTTAGCACTCCAATAAACAACATGAAGGTGGAAGATCCAGACAATTTCTTTATGCGGGATATTCAAACCCCGGTAAATATAACTGATATAAACACGAGCGCACTAAATTTTGAAAAAGAAATTGAAAACATGCCCATGCACTCGGCCCCAGGTCCAGACTCATGGAATTCAATATTTATAAAGAAATGCAAAGTGCCGGTAGCACAGGCACTCAGTATAGTGTGGAGGAAGAGCTTGGACACGGGGGAGATACCAGATGCACTTAAAGTAGCAGACATAGCCCCTCTACACAAGGGAGGGAGCAAAGCATTGGCAAAAAATTATAGACCAGTTGCACTAACATCGCACATCATAAAAGTATTTGAGAGAGTGATTAGGAGTCAGGTCACCAATTTCATGGAGACCAATGACCTTCATAACCCAGGCCAACATGGATTTCGAGCGGGAAGATCGTGCCTCTCACAGCTACTTGAGCACTACGACAAAGTCACTGAGGCATTAGAAGAGAAACAGAATGCTGATGTGATATACACGGACTTCGCAAAGGCCTTCGATAAATGTGACCATGGCGTGATAGCACACAAAATGAAGTCAATGGGAATAACCGGTAAAGTAGGACGCTGGATACTCAGTTTTCTGTCAAACAGGACTCGGCGAGTAACTGTCAACCATATAAAATCTAGTCCAAGTGCAGTGAAAAGCTCTGTACCTCAGGGTACAGTACTTGCACCACTGCTTTTCCTTATTCTCATATCAGATATAGACAAAAATACAAGTCACAGCTTCGTATCATCCTTTGCAGATGACACAAAAATCAGTATGAAAATTACCTCGGCTGAGGACATTGAAAAACTTCAAGCTGATATTAATAAAGTTTTCGACTGGGCATCAGAAAATAACATGATGTTTAACAGTGATAAATTCCAGGTACTCAGGTACGGTAAAAATGAGGACCTTAAACATAATACAGAGTACAAAACACAATCAAATGTACCCATAGTAGGAAAACAGCATGTAAAGGATTTGGGAATAATAATGTCTGACGACCTAACGTTTAAGGAGCATAACCAAGCAAATATTGCGACAGCCAGAAAAATGATAGGATGGATTACGAGAACTTTCAAATCCAGGGATCCCATCACAATGGTTGTACTCTTCAAGGCACTTGTGTTGTCCCGTCTTGAGTACTGCTCAGTACTCACTTCCCCCTTCAAAGCAGGAGAGATTGCTGAAATAGAGGGAATACAGAGAACATATACGGCACGCATAGACGCAATAAAGCACCTAAATTATTGGGATCGTCTCAAAGCCCTCCAAATGTACTCACTAGAAAGAAGACGAGAGAGATATCAAGTAATATACACCTGGAAGATACTGGAAGGCCAAATACCAAATCTACACAGTAAAATAACAACGTACTGGAGTGAACGACATGGAAGAAAATGTAGAATAGAACCAATGAAGAGCAGAGGTGCCATAGGCACAATCAGAGAACACTGTATAAACATCAGAGGTCCGCGGTTGTTCAACGTCCTCCCAGCAAGCATAAGAAATATTACCGGAACAACCGTGGACATTTTCAAGAGGAAACTAGATTTATTCCTCCAAGGAGTGCCGGACCAACCGGGCTGTGGTGGGTATGTGGGCCTGCGGGCCGCTCCAAGCAACAGCCTGGTGGACCAAACTCTCACAAGTCGAGCCTGGCCTCGGGCCGGGCTTGGGGAGTAGACGAACTCCCAGAACCCCATCAACCAGGTATCAACCAGGTATCAACCAGTGTAGTGAGGCGCTCAACACTCAACAACAGCAACTGACTGTAGTGTAGTGAGGCGCTCAACACTCAACAACAGCAGCTGACTGTAGTGTAGTGAGGCGCTCAACAACAGCAGCTGACTGTAGTGTAGTGAGGCGCTCAACACTCAACAACAGCAGCTGACTGTAGTGTAGTGAGGCGCTCAACACTCAACAACAGCAGCTCACAGCTCACTGTAGTACAAAGCTTACCAGCCAAAAAAAGGATTTTTTTCAAATGTAAAATTTTCCTTGATTGTAATTAGAAAACAATTTTGGCATAAAAATAATTGTGTATATAAAATAAAAATTGATTCGTGTTATGGAATTCAATCTTAGCAAGATTATTACGTAATAGTTTTTTCTTTAAAAAAAAGTCTGGAAGATAAGACTATAACAATATAGACTTTCGTTGCTGGTCTTTTTTAACTTAAGTAAATATTGGTTACATTAGATAATGTGTTTTTCTTCAATGGTTAATATTTTGTTCACTTAGCAGTAATATAGATAATTAAATGCAGATCAATTAAATATAGGTTCCATCAATTAAATATAGGATCAATATTAAGGTTCCGGATTCGATCCCCGGTGGAGGTGGAAATCATCTCAAGATAACCTCAAGAAGCTAACTATCATAAGTGTCATATTATACCTGGTATGCGTGGTGCATTTCAACAACTGCTATTACTTCAGAAACTAATATTACTCTTGTGAAAGAATAATTTGGTCAAATGCTATTTTAGTTAATGGATTATCATACGTGATGTGTTTAAATCACCAGCTGGGTATGTGAGTGACTACATAGTGTAATACATATAGTTAACCCCTTTGTCTTCCTCTATGGCCTCCTCCCTCTCAGATAACTTAACAACGTAAGACTTTCGAAACTACAGAAGGCCTATTGGCCTATACGAGGCTGCTCCAGTTTATATATACACAAAATCTAAATATAAGAGACAATGTGTGTGTTTGCCTGTCTGTGTTTAGAGTTGAAGGCCACACACTTGTGGCTGGCCTGGGTTACGGGACGGATGTACACTGGTCGGGTAGGCCTAAGTCAAATGATTGAAGAAATATTAGTATTTATTCACAACCTCATCATCTTTCAGATTCAATTCTTCATATAGTCTAGGGTAGCTGCACTAATGCAGATGTACCTAATATGTTAATAAAAAAAAAAAAAATTGGAGCTTTGCTTTCAGTTCTTTGACATTATTGATAGTGTATGAACTAGAAGATAGAAGCTCTGCCCATTTGTTTCCACCTCCACCGGGGATCGAATCCGGAACCTTAGTACTACGAATACCGAGCGCTGTCCACTCAGCCGTCGGGCTATCTCCGGGTGCTTGGAACACTGTTAGGCTTATGCAGGCGATGACTCACAATAACGTGGCTGAAGTATGTTGACCAGACCACACACTAGAAGGTGAAGGGACGACGACGTTTCGGTCCGTCCTGGACCATTCTCAAGTCGATTGAGAATGGTCCAGGACGGACCGAAACGTTGTCGTCCCTTCACCTTCTAGTGTGTGGTCTGGTCAACATACTGTTAGGCTTACTGAAAGCAATGGTCTGTTGCTTTAACAATGGTCTGTTGAAGGACGTTGTTAACAATGTCAGCAAGATAATCCCAGAACGCCGGAAGTGGCGGAGTCCGGGTCGGCAGTCATAATGACCCAAACCATCGTTAACGATCACAGGTACTTAATGATTATTTCCGGTGACGTCACCATTTGCGGCAATGGAAAAGTTTTCCAAGATAGGCGTGAAGAACCTTATAATTGCAAGCATGAATAACGTGCTCACTTATTAGACGAAAACCTGGCGATGCTCGGGGGGGGGGGGTTTCTCTCTCTCTCTCTCTCTCTCTCTCTCTCTCTCTCTCTCTCTCTCTCTCTCTCTCTCTCTCTCTCTCTCTCTCTCTCTCTCTCTCTCACACACACACACACACACACACACACACACACACACACACACACACACACCACTACTTCCTTCAGAGCGGCAGTAGCAGGAGAGCCAGGCCCGGTGTTGGGAGTCACGAGTGTGCAACCGTCCTCGACTCAAGTCCATTACATCCAGCGGTCGACCCCACAGACGCATTCATGAACTATTACATGCTGTTCAACCAAAACGGGAATTTTCTCAAACATAAATTTATTGGCATATTATTCATATATATTCATAGGTTAGGTTAGGTTAGGTGTTTAGGTCCTGTTGGCGATTTTTATCTTCACCCATGTATTTGTAGTGCGTGGGTGAAGCATTTACAGCGTTGTGGTTCGAACAAAATTCGTTAGTGAAGCACTTGTTCCGGAAGTGTTCGAACGAAACTAGTTGTGAGTCGTGTGTAAACCGTTTTTCATTCATAAACAGCGGGTTTGGCGGGTGGAAGGAATCACTTCTGGCTCATTGTTTGAAGGACGGGCTGCGAGTGCGTGCCGCTCACCATCACAGTGGATTGAAGCGAGGGACTACACTCTTCGTCAGGCACACGATCTCAAATCCCCAGAGCTAGAGCTCAACTTAGTACATGGACGTGCGGCTCCGTGGGGCCTCTCGACACGCACACATGCATCAGGCAGACACACACACACACGTGAGACACAGAAAGATACGTGCAGCGCTCGTGACAACACGCGATGGCGGCAGGCTGAGGGACACAGCGAAGTCTTGGGGTCTCGAAATTGGGTCAAAAGACTCAGGTGCTGGGAAGTGGTCCACTAAACTGACTGAAGTAATAACATACACTTAAACGAACTGCCCAATTACCTTGCAGCCTGACCGTGTGATTCAGCACGCCTCACCTGCTCACTACGGCACTCTCATCGTTTAAAAAGAGCGCAGACACTCTATAAAAAAGCCCACACTATAAAAGAGCGCAGACTATAAAAGAGCCCAGACACTATAAAAGAGCCCAGACACTATAAAAAAAAACAGACACTATAAAAGAGCTCAGACACTCTATTAAAGAGCTCAAACACTATAAAAGAGCTCAGACACTATAAAAGAGCTCAGACACTATAAAAGAGCTCAGACACTATATTCATTGAACAATATGAATAAGTGTGGTCGCTGGTTCTGGAACCACCACCAGTGACCAGTTATGCAGACACCTGCTCCTCGCAGAACTGAGCACAGCAAACCCGGCCTGGAGCAGAACACACAGCACATTAGCTCACTACCCGCGTGGGCATGAGACTGCTGCTGCTCCACTGGGCTTGCCTCTGCTTTTCCAACGCCGTGGGAGATGCTAAATCATAAATTAGCACCGTGATTTATTTGGTGCTAAATCACGCGTCAAACATTGCTGCCTCCGTACATAGAGCTTGGGTGTGGCTGTACGATGTAGGCCTGGTGTACGCGTAGGCCTTGTGTACGCGTAGGCCTGGTGTACGCATAGGCCTGGTGTGCTCGTAGGCCTGGTGTACGCGTAGGCCTGGTGTACGCGTAGGCCTGGTGTACGCATAGGCCTGGTGTGCTCGTAGGCCTGGTGTACGCGTAGGCCTGGTGTACGCGTAGGCCTGGTGTACGCGTAGGCCTGGTGTACGCGTAGGCCTGGTGTACGCGTAGGCCTGGTGTACATGTAGGCCTGGTGTGCTCGTAGGCCTGGTGTACGCGTAGGCCTGGTGTACGCATAGGCCTATGTCGCAATAGCATCGTTGTCCTGTAGCTATCATGTCCGTAAACAAGTACCTAACATCACCAACCTCTATAAACATTGGTGGCACCAGTGCCAGCTTGGGTCATGACTTGTCACATGTATCTTGGATACAGGGGTCATGTCACCCGGGACACTTCTAAGTAAGGTAAACTCTTACTATTAAGATGAACTTCTAAGTGAAGATAAATAGGTAACTTTAGATCTGTCACTGGTAGAAGGTTTGGTGACGGAATTGCACTCAGCTCAGGTTAATTTTCCTCCGGTTTCCTAAATGATGATTGCAAACATGGCTATCACCCCCCCCACCCCCTCCCTTCCCACAATGACCAACTCAACCACCACTACAACCATCAGAGTCTCTACCAAACCCACCTTCACTACCAGCATTGCTCCCAAACCCAACGTCACTACCAGCACCTCCTCCCAAACCCAGCGTCACTACCAGCACCTCCTGCCAAACCCAACGTCACTACCAGCACCTCCTCCCAAACCCACCCCCACTACCAGCACCTCCTCCCAAACCCACCCCCACTACCAGCACCTCCTCCCAAACCCACCCCCACTACCAGCACCTCCTGCCACAGGCCTGTACTACGGGGTGACCATCTCGCTGGTGTCCTTCGCCACGGGGCTGTCGGTGGTGACCCTCAACATCCACCACCGGGGTATGAGGGGCCGCGAGGTCCCGCCCTTCGTCAAGAAGGTCGTCTTCAGCTACATGGCCAAGATGATGTGTATCCGGCTCGACATCCCCGACCCCATGGGCGGCCAGGGCCACAAGTTTGCTAATGTAAGTCGTCGGGTGTATTTGTTGGGGGGGGGGAGAGGGCATAAATGTGTGTTTGTTCTGTCCAAGGGTGACGGGTGTGTCGGGGACGGTCATAAGAGTGTCGAAACAGGTCACTGTGCCTCCCTTGACAGGGGAAACAGGGTCGGCCACCGTACCTCCCCCCTTTATGGGGTGGGGAGGGGCGGGGCCCACATACACATTGATGTAGTCAGTGGAGATGAAACCTTTGGGACTGGGGCAATTATTTATATTTTATTATTATATTGTTCATATATTTGTTACACACTAACTACAAATTCATATTAGCTTAGCATTTTCTCCTCATCAACAGCTATGGGGGGGGGGGGGCTTATGTACATCATTAGGTGTATTTGTTGGTGCCGATGTAAATCACCAAATGTATGTTGGTTGATGTAGGTGGTGTGGATGTTGGTTGTTGTTAGTGGTGTGAATGTTGGTTGATGTAGGTGGTGTGGATGTTGGTTGATGTAGGTGGTGTGGATGTCTGGTGGTTGTTCCAGGTGTTGAGTATACCTGGTGGTCTTGCATGTTTTTTATGTGGGTTTCTGTATTTTGAAATCAGCCACGAAATCCCAATAGTCATGAACCTTCTCTGTATCCTTGTGTTGTCTCCGGAGCCCCTAGCGTCCTGTGAATCCCAGGCTCCCTTGCACACCCTACCCCCCCCCCCGCCCTTGTGTCCCTGAGACACACCTGTCACCTAGTACCCAGCACTCCAGGGGCCTTAGTCCCAGGAACCCACTTGCTACCACCTGGTCTCTAGCCCACTCCTAGCTTCTCCCAGCACCTCGCCTAGCCCCTTGCATCTTGTAAACTAGGTGCTTGGGGCCTAACCTGCTCCTAGGCCCTAGGACCACATCTTCCCAACCCCCCCCCCCCGTACCATAGGAGTCTGACCTCTGGGTGTCCCCCACAGGGTGAGGGCTACACCGGCCTGAGGGAGTTCGGGTCCATTAACCTGGAGATGAGTGACCGCCTGCTGGACCCGGAGCTGAAGTGTGAGAACGGTGGTGTCGCCCCCACCAGGTGAGTCCCCCCGGGGGGTGGTGCTTGCCCTTGTCGTGACGCTGAACCCCGGTTCATTCCGAACACAGCGATTACACAACACATAACACCTTACCTCAGCAACCGTTACTACCACCGTGTACTCCTACACGGAACACCGTGTACTCCTACCACCGTGTACTCCTACTCCTATGAGTGAACATATGGAAGGTATTTAAAGGCCGTCGGGTTTTGTCATTTAATTACAAAGAATAGACACTGACAAATAATAACATATTAACATACTCTATTAGGTAAATTCACTTCCAATACCCCTAGACCACTTGACCTCCGCGATCACCACCCACACTCGTAACTTCCGCCTAAGTCCCTAATACGGAATGATTACTACAACGCTCCACACCCGGTTAGTCTTTCATTCAATACTCACATACTGCAGACTTAACTTGGTCACTAAGATCACATGAGGCTCTCGCATAGCTGTCTGCTACACTTCGCTGCTGCTACAAACGGAGACCTCGGAGGACTTGCCAGTCCCACTCCCACAACAAGACTGTCTCCAGTCAGCCATGGCCTCAACCATTTCACCACGCCTCTTAAGGAAGTTATAATCTGATTAACCTTATCCCTAGAAGCGGTAACCTTGTTCCTAGAAGCCTGAGTCCTCTTTCCAGGAATTATTAATTTGGCTAACAGCTGCGGTCTTAATTCCTTTGACCTTTCTTAGATATGTGATCCATAGTCTGTCTACTTAACATGTACTTCCAATCATCATTCGTTAAGTGTTGTAGTAATGATCCTCTAGCTAATAATCCCTCCTAACTTGTGGATTACAACACCCTCCACCTCCATGTGAGTTTCCCAGGGATGTTAAACTCTCCCTCCACCACCAGGTGAGTCCCCCCGGGGAGTGTTCTCTCCCTCCACCACCAGGTGAGTCCCCCCGGGGAGTGTTCTCTCCCTCCACCACCAGGTGAGTCCCCCCGGGGAGTGTTCTCCCCCCCCCATCACCAGGTGAGTCCCCCCGGGAGTGTTCTCTCCCTCCACCACCAGGTGAGTCCTCCTCGCCATATATATATATATATATGACAATGTCAGACCACGGAGGAAAAATGAAACAGGAAATTTCCTTAAGTACTTTCGTATATTAAATACATCTTCAGAAGGTCGTGTGGAGGGAGAGGACCTTCTGAAGATGTATTTAATATACGAAAGTACTTAAGGAAATTTCCTGTTTCATTTTTCCTCCGTGGTCTGACATTGTCACATTCTTAATCACGTGTTTATTTTCGTGATATACACACACATATATATATATATATATATATATATATATATATATATATATATATATATATATATATATATATATATATATATATATATATATATATATATATATATATATATAGGGGAAGGGAGTACCACCTCTGGCTGGAAGAAGGGGGACCCATAGGAGAGGCACTAGAGGAACCCCCTGTGGAGGGAGAGACACTAGAGGGACCTCGTGTGGAGGGAGAGGCACTAGAGGAACCCCGTGTGGAGGGAGAGACACTAGAGGGATCCCGTGTGGAGGGAGAGACACTAGAGGGACCTCGTGTGGAGGGAGAGGCACTAGAGAAACCCCGTGTGGAGGGAGAGACACTAGAGGGACCTCGTGTGGAGGGAGAGGCACTAGAGGAACCCCGTGTGGAGGGAGAGACACTAGAGGGACCTCGTGTGGAGGGAGAGGCACTACAGGGACCTCGTGTGGAGGGAGAGGCACTAGAGGGACTTCGTGTGGAGGGAGAGGCACTAGAGGAACCCCATGTGGAGGGAGAGACACTAGAGGGACCTCGTGTGGAGGGAGAGGCACTAGAGGAACCCCGTGTGGAGGGAGAGACACTAGAGGGACCTCGTGTGGAGGGAGAGGCACTAGAGGGACCCCGTGTGGAGGGAGAGGCACTAGAGGGACCCCGTGTGGAGGGAGAGGCACTAGAGGGACCCCGTGTGGAGGGAGAGGCACTAGAGGGACCCCGTGTGGAGGGAGAGGCACTAGAGGGACCCCGTGTGGAGGGAGAGGCACTAGAGGGACCCCGTGTGGAGGGAGAGGCACTAAAGGGACCCCGTGTGGAGGGAGAGGCACTAGAGGGGACCCAGTGTGGAGGGAGAGGCACTAGAGGGACCCTGTGTGGAGGGAGAGGCACTAAAGGGACCCCGTGTGGAGGGAGAGGCACTAGAGGGGACCCAGTGTGGAGGGAGAAGCACTAGAGGGAGACCCCGTGTGGAGGGAGAAGCACTAGAGGGACCCCGTGTGGAGGGAGAGGCACTAGAGGGACCCCGTGTGGGTGAGGCACCCCCCCCCGTCAGGTATAGCGAGCACCCACAACAGATGACTCCCAGGGAAAGACAAGCCTCCACTTCTCATCAACCTGATTGGTTGATAGTGTACCTCCTGCGCCGCGGGGGTTCGAGTGGGAAAGAATGATCCTCACAGGATGGCTTCCCTTGAAATGAGAGATATATACCCCATGCAGGGATCATCTTGAGGGTGGGACCGGCGTCCATATTGATGTTTGTGTCTTATTCCGTGGTGACCGCCTTGACAGCCCCGTCCACACTACCACAGCCAGTGTGACCTGGTACCCAGGTGATCAACTCGCGTCGGCCGTGGTCGTATTTTTGGGAGCAGACGTAGAGCGGTGGGGATGAGGTGGACGCTGTGGTTTGGATGTTATTATTCCCGTGAAGCCACAGCGCTGCTAGTCTCAGTAGATGATGACATTATGGTTGGTGTGTGTGTGTGGGGCCGAGCTGCTGTGTGTGTGGCCGAGCTGCTGTGTGTGTGTGGCCGAGCTGCTGTGTGTGTTGGGCTGAGCTGAGGTGTGTGGCCGAGCTGGTGTGTGTGGCTGAGCTGGGTTGTGGGGCCGAGCTGCTGTGTGTGGCCGAGCTGGGGTGTGTGGCTGAGCTGGTGTATGTGCATACAATTGCTGCCTGCAATTCCATCTGTGTAATTGGTCATACCGCTTGGGGCCGAGATCACGAGAGGGGAGAGCAACAGAGGTAACTGAAGCAGATGGCTAAAGGGGAGTCACCAGGAGTGAATATTAGTGAGGAGGTTTGGAAAATTGCGCCTAGAAAAATAGAACAGAAAGAGAGAGAGAGCGAGAGCGAGAGAGAGAGAGAGAGAGGGAGGGAGAGGAGAGGGAGAGAGAGAGGGAGAGAGAGAGAGAGGAGAGAGAGGGAGAGAGGAGAGAGAGAGAGAGAGAGAGAGAGAGAGAGAGAGAGAGAGAGAGAGAGAGAGAGAGAGAGAGAGAGAGAGAGAGAGAGAGAGAGAGAGAGAGAGAGAGAGAGAGAGAGAGAGAGGAGAGAGAAGCAGGCAATCATTTTACATTTTCTCCTGCTTGATGCCATATATATGTCATGGCCAAATCCGTGTGTCACAGTATAGACATAAATCATACCCCGCGCCTTCCTCCGGACACCATATCAATATATTCTGAAGAGCCTTCCGCCATAACTCCTGAGGAGACGCCCGTGACTCCCTTGTCTCTCCTCCACACAACTTCTCAGATTTTCTTTACTTGAAGATGACTGTAATGATTGCCCAATATATTTCAGAGTTATTACCTGTCATTTTAATAGTTTTCTCTATTTCAATGATGCACAAATGCACTGGTGTGGGCTCTGTGGTTCCCAGAGGGGCGTGTGAGAGATAAATTGTCATCCTTATTTCGAATCACGTGATATCACGTAGGTCGAACGTGACAAACCATAGCTCGCTAGTGAGCGTTTTTAAATGTGTTCGTTTATTCTTTCACGAAGGACATTAATTGTGCAGCAGCCACATGCGGGCCATCACTGTTCTTGGATCACGTCCAGTTGGCTCGTCTAGCCCGCCATAACACACTGCGAGAGGTCTCATTATGTGCTGGAGACGACTTAGTGTTGGAGCTGAAGACATTCTTCTAGCCTAATTAATTGTATTCTTACCAAAGGAGGACTAGGATAGTGTGCTTGTAAATAGTGGCGGGGAACAACGCCAGTCGTCATGCACTGCCTTCATTTTCATCAAGTTCATCCTCAAGTTCATCTTTCGCTTTTCCACATTTTTCTGTCATTCTTACTCATAGTTTTCTTTAATTTGCACAAGCGTGGTCTTTTCTGGTCGGTTATTTTTCTGAAATTCTGCAGACTCTTGAGTTACACAAGTGTTGACATTGCCAGAGAGTGTTGATTTAGGATAGCTGGTATTTTTGTGTAATTTTGTTAAACAAATCTAAAAGCGTGTTGATCATGTGTTTGGGGCTTTTTTTTTTTTTAGTACGTAAAAACTGTGAGCTTGTTTATGTCGTCTTCGAACACCTATAGAAACATATAGTTACATTTTTGTGAGAGATCTTGAAATACGAATTATCCAAAACACACACACACACACACACACAAGATAGGATAGACTGGGAGAACAAGGAACCGCATGGAGGAGAGGATACATGGAGAGTCAAACTAATGGAGGTGGCGACAAGAAACTTTCTAAGCCAACATGTCAGGCAGCCCGCTAGGATGAGAGGAAACGATGAACCAGCGAGACTCGACCTAGTCTTCACTCTGAACGACTTCGACATAAGGGAAATCGGTTTTGAGGCCCCAGTAGGAATGAGCGACCACAGTACACAGGTGTTTGAGTATCTGGTTGAAGAAGGATTATTGAACTCGAGGAGGGGTACTGAAAACAATTGGATACTGAGTATAGGGGTACTGAGCCACAGCTCAGAATGGAAGCAAGTCGACGAAGAACTCTGTAGGGTAAGGCAGGTCCTTGTCAACAACGGCTTCTCCAATGGTTTCGTCGAAGACATCATAAGAAGGAAAGTGAAACGCCATGCAACCTCTGAAGAGACAACTAACACAACACCTATACCCCCTATTAGACTATTTTACAGGAACTTCTTTTCCACAGCTCATAAAACGGAGGAAAGGGTCCTGAAAGATATTGTTAATAGAACGTTATCCCTACAGACAAAAATCAGAGGATACAACTGACGATTTACTATAAAACCAGAAAAACGGCCAGCCTACTCATGAGAAACTCTCCAGACACAAAGCAGAACGCTTTAAAAGAGACCAACGTCGTCTATGCCTTCAAATGCCCTCTTGGGGACTGTAAGCTCCAAAAAAAAACAGTATATAGGCATGACAACTACATCCCTTTCTAGGCGTTTAACGATGCATAAGCAACAGGGCTCCATTAAGGAACATATAATCTCTTCCCACAACCAAACCATCGCCAGAGAAATCCTAGTAAACAACACAGAAATCATCGATAGATACAGCGATAGCAGGCGTCTTGACGTTTGCGAGGCACTACACATTAAAAAGTCAACACCAGCAATCAACAGGCAATTAATGCACAACTATATTCTACCCACCTCAAGACTCTGCTCCAATATAGAAGCATCAAGAAATATGGACCAATAGGCTTTCTACAATCACTTCCATTCAACACCCATTGTTTCGTGTTCTGTCTTGTGTTGATGAAATTAATACCCTATTAATGCCACCTCACCCCATTCACCTCACTCAAATGTAGATATAAACAAATCGGAGATGTGTAAGTTCTATTCAGTTGTGTATGTGTAACTAAAGTCTTTGAAAATGTAATAAGTTTTACGAAACGCGCTCAAGTGTCGCGTCAGACTAGAAATAAAAATGAATTTTGGAGAATTGATTTTTGAATTACCACCAACAGTGAAAAGGAATGTACGAAAGATTGAGAAAATTCGTGTTAGAATTATTAATCTTACTTTTTCGGTCATATTTAATAATATATATATATATATATATATATATATATATATATATATATATATATATATATATATATAAATATATATATATATAAATATATATATATATAAATATATATATATATAAATATATATATATATAAATATATATATATATATAAATATATATATATATATATAATATATATATATATATATATATATATATATATATATATATATATATATATATATATATATATATATATATATATCAATTATTTTGGTGTTGCTTGTCAAAATATCCCTGGTGATCGTCTCGTTGTGTGTAGTGATTATATGCTACTTTTTGGAGCCCTGTTGTTTGTGCATTGTTAAACGCCTACAGAGAGACGTTGTTGTCTTGCCTATATACTGAGATCGTTGGGGGTTGACAATCCCCAAGTGGGCACGTGAAGGCATAGACAATGTTGGTCTCTTTCAAGGTGTTTTTCTTGGTGTCGGGAGAATTCTTCATTAGCAGGTTGGCGGTTTTCTTACTCTTATAATATATTGATAATTTTATCTTTTCGTTGACGTCAGTTGGAAATTAACGCTGCACAAACGACAGGGCTCCATCAAGGAGCATATAATCGCCATACACAATGAGACACTGACATCCGCTGGACGTCAGTGTTAGTTTGGATATAATTTGGATACTATCATACATGGTCTGGGCCTCCACTACGGGCAGCACCTCACTGACGACCACTTGACCTCTTGCAGATTGGCGGGGAGTATCCACGGGCAGCCCGCGACCAGCTGCCCGGCGGCGGCGGCGGCGCACCCCTGCCTCGACACCTTCGAGCGGCACTTCATCCGGGTCCTTAACAAGGTCTACCAAACCATCGAGAAGAATGAGATCCGGCTGGCGGAACAGGACCGCCGGGACACGATCAAGCTGGAGTGGCAGCAGGTGGCCCTCGTTGTCGATCGGTAGGTGAAGGGGGAGCGCCTAAGTTTGGGTTTATGGGTAGTCACCGGGGGGGGGGGAAGTGGGTATTAGGTCTGTGATGCGCAGGCGTCCCTCATTTGTAATGGGAAGGGACATGTAGCTCTAGGGATGAGATGACTGAGATGAGACGGGTGTTAGGACATAACCCGTCCTCCTAATAGAACGTCGCATTTTGACGTATATTGTACCTAACGCCAAAAATTGGCATACGGCAGCAGGTCACGAAATTGACTTACTGTCCCGTTTTCTGGTTTGGGTCCTCTGGTTGGGTAGGAAATGGGCACTTTAGTACGGTAGTTTCTTGACATTGGGAAATTTCAGAAAGATGGGCAGTTATGATAATTTACGTAAGGGAGGTTTAATAATAGACTAAATCGTTGCTGACAGAAAGGTGACACCTCGGTTTATAGAGGAGAAGTGTTGTTAAAGAAGTCACTCGTCCTCTGGTGATTTACTCCATCAAAACCATACGAAATTAGAAAGTCAGATCGAACTCTATCGACTTCGTTTGGTTCGGTCGTCTCTGTAGGTTGGAACGTAGGAGTTGTATAGTAGATCATGACTAGCTCGGTTTAGAGCGGGCTGTAGGCGGAGTGGTTGGATACACTTTGTATCAGACTGTGTGTGTGTGTACTCACCTAGTTGTGCTTACGTGGGGTTGAGCTTCGGCTCTTTGGTCCCGCCTCTCAACTGTCAATCAACTGGTGTACAGGTTTCTGAGTCTATTGGGCTCTATCATATCTCTATTTGAAACTGTTAGCTTTTGAAAAGTCTGCCTCCACCACATCACTGCCTAATGCATTCCATTTGTTAACTACTCTGACACTGAAAAAGTTCTTTCTAACGTTCCTGTGGATCAATTGGGTACTAAGTTTCCACCTGTGTCCCCTTGTTCGCGAACCACCCTTGCTAAGCAGTTTATCTTTATCTACCCTGTCAATTCCTCTGAGAATTTTATAGGCAGTGATCATGTCTCCTCTAACTCTTCAGTCTTCCAGTGTCGTGAGGTTTAGTTCTAGTAATCTTTCCTCCTAGCTTATACCCCTCAGCTCGGCGACTAGCTTGGTGGCATACCTCTGAATCTTTTCTAACTTCGTTTTATGTTTGACTTGATGCGGACTCCACGCTGGGGCCGCATATTCCAGTATTGGTCTGACATATGAGGTATACAAGGTTCAAGGTTCTGAATGATTCCTTACACAAGTGTCTGAAGGCAGTTCTTATGTTCGCCAGTCTTGCATATGCCGCTGTTTGATATGGGCTTCAGGGAACAGGTCTGGTGTGATATCAACCCCCAGATCTTTCTCTCGTCCTGACTCCTGAAGGATTTCCTCTCCCAGATGGTACCTTGTATTTGGCCTCCTGCTCCCTACACCTATCTTCATCACTTTGCACTTGCTCGAGTTAAATTCTAGTAGCCATTTGTTGGACCATTCCTTCATTTTGTCTAGATCATCCTGTAATATCTTGCTGTCCTCCTTTATCTTAATCCTCATAATTTTAGCATCATCAGCAAACATTGAGAGGAATGGGTCTATACTTTCTGGAAGATCATTCGCATATATCAGAAACAGGTCTGATCCGAGTACAGAACCCTGCGGGACTCCGCTGGTAACAACACGCCAGTCTGAGGTCTCACCCCCTCACAATCACTCGCTGCTTCCTGTTATTTAGGTACTCCCTTATCCATTGGAGCATCTTACCACTTACTCCAGCTTGTTTCTCCAACTTTTGTAAAAATCTCGTAAGGGATACTGTGTCAAAAGTTTTCCGACAGTTGACAGTCCGAGAAAATGCAGTCTGCCCATCCTTCTCCTTGTTGTTTAATGCTTGTTGCTTGGTCATGGAATTTTGTTAAACCTGTGAGACATGACTTGCCTTCCCTGTACCCATGTTGGTGGCGTGTTACAAAGTCCCTTCTCTCCAGATGTTCTACCAGACTTTTTCTCACAATCTTCTCCATCACCTTGCATGGTATACAAGTTAAGGATACCGGCCTATAGTTTAGAGCCTCTTGCCTATCCCTGTTATTGTAGATTTGGACTATGTTAGCTGTGTTCCAACTCTGGTAGGTCTCCTTTTTTCCAGTGACTTGTTACAGACCATAGATAGTGGCACGCAAAGTGCTTCTGTCCCCACTTTTAGCATCAATGGTGAGATTCTATCAGGTCCAACAGATACTGCCTAACCTCATCACTGGTAATTTCAATACCTTAAAAGTCTGCTTGGTTTATCGCCACCTTGGTTTATTGTCAGGGCGCCTGACAGCTGAGTGAACAGCGCTTCGTATTCGTAGTCTTGAGGTTCCGAGTTCGATCCCAGTGGAGGCGGAGACAAATGAGCCAAATGTTTCTTTCACCCTGATGGCCCTGTTACCTAGCCGTAAATAGGTACCTGGGAGTTAGACAGCTGCTACTGGCTGCTTCCTGGGGCGTGTGTAACAAAAATGAGGCCTGGTCGAGAACCTGGGCCACGGGGTCGCTAAGCCCCAAAATCATCTCAAGATAAATGAACAAATTATCACACACAAATAAATGGTGTGTGTGATGTCATCTCAAGATAACTTCAAGATAACCCTTCTTATTTCAGGCCCTTCCCCTTGCTCTATTGTGAAGACCTCCTGGACTCTCTTGTTGAGTTCTTCGCACACACTTCTTTGTCATTCTCTGTGTACCCATCATCTCCCGTTTTCAGTTTCATCACATTTTCTTTCACTGTTATTTTCCTCCTGATGTTTCTTTGAGTGCTATTACATCAGGGTTCTTTTCTTGTGTCCTCATCATGAATTAAGTTCACTTATTTTATTCGTAATGCCATGTATGTTTATGTACATTACTTTGTAGGTCACTTTCGTCTGTCCATCCTGACTTATTCTTACTATTGCTGGCTGTTCCTTTGGTGCAGACAATTTTGCTCCATGGACTGGGCTGCATGGGTGGGGTTGGTGTGCTGTGTAATACTTAACATGTGTTCAGAAGATGCTGAGGTGGGGTTCAAGGGTTGGGGTAGAAGGGAGTGCTTGGAGGAGTGGGGGATGAGGGAGGGTTTTGGGGGGATGGGAAGAAGGGAGGGCTTGGGAGAGTGGGGGAGAAGGGAGAGCTTGGGGTGAAGGAGAAGGGAGGGCTGGGGGGGGGGAGGGGAAAGAAAGGGCTTGGGGGGCGAGAAGGGAGGGCTTGTGGGTAGGGAAGGAGGGAGGGCTTGTGGAGAGGGGGAGTGGGGGGGGAGGGTATACTGCATAGACACTTAGTGGGGGGCTGGTAGGGGTGGAAGGTGTGGGTGATGCTCTTCTATTGGGTGGAAGGTGGGGGGGGGGGTGATGCTCTTCTCACTGGGGCTGCTGAACTGCTTGTGGAGGGTTCCCCACTCCCTGCTTGGAGTGTAGGGTTCGGGGATGTGATTCCCTGATTCCTTTCTCTTCCCTTGTTACTTCCTTGTGCCTGCTCCCCTCATTCTCTCGTCCCTTGTCATATCCCTATGAAGGAATGCCGCTTTGAACTTCGTTACATGTAATAATCTGCTCTTCCTTGCTAGAAGGTCCTCTTTTGTGCTCTCATTCGTGAATACTACCTTTGTCAATATACTTTCAAATGCTTGTTGGTTGAAAGCAATGCGTGCCTTAACACATGAACCACGATATAGTCCATGGGGTCCTCCCTGCCCCCACTCCCCCTCTTCATAAACCCTCCCTTCTCCTCCACCCGATCTCTCCTTATTGTACTAGCCAAACCTGAAAACCTGTTCTATAATTTGTTCAGCCCTCTCCATCTGTACCCCCTTTTAAGATCTGTCACTGCAGGCACTGCATAATCCTTATCTCATCACTCCATCTGACTGGAATCTGTTTGTCCCTTCACACCTACTACGACTACTGCTCTTTTCCTCTCTATCAGGTAACTAGGACATCTTGCTGTTTCCTGGGAAGTAACTACTTTCATGGAAACTTCCTTCACTGCATAGTTTCAGGGCTCTTTCTAATCATATCTACAAATGAGGCGTGTACTGTACAAGTCCCTTCTACAGATAAATTACCAGCTTCCTGAGCGATAGTTGGTGTCTGGTACTGAGTAGGATTCTCTTTCAGGCTTTTTATCTCCTGTGCTGCATTCAATGTGTGTGTGTACTCACCTATTTGTGTCTGCAGGATCGAGCATTGACTCTTGGATCGTGCTTTTCAAGCATCGGTTGTTTACAGCAATGACTGTGAGTGTGTGTGAAGTGCTTCTCAGGAATCAGCAAAATGCACTAGCCGACTGATAGAGAGGAAAAGAGCAGTAGTCTTAATAGGTATTAAGAAGCAAATAGGGGCTACTCCAAGGTAGAGAAGAGATATGGACAAAGCCACAGTCAAAGTGATCCTTGAAGGGGTACAGATGATGGGGGAAGAACTGAATATAGAAAAGGTTTTCAGGCCTGGCCGGTACAACAAGGACAAAGATCAATTGACAAAAGTGGTTTTCCAAACAAGGACACAAAAGAGGAAATTTTAGCAAAGAAGAGCAGCCTACTCAATGTACTGAAGTTAAAAAGGGTATCCTTGCAGAGGGATATGACCAGGAAGGAGAGACAGAGGGCAGCAGCAGCAGGTAGTTTCTCATTGTTTCTCGCCGGCACCGGGAATCGAACACGTAATCCTGTGGTCCGGGTTTGATTCCCGGTGCCAGAGAGAAACAATTGGGCAGAGTTTCTTTCACCCTGTTACCTAGCAGTAAATATGTACCTGGGAGCTAGACAGCTGTTACGGGCTGCTTCCTGTGTGTGTGTGTGTGTGTACTCACCTATTTGTGTCTGCAGGATCGAGCAATGACTCTTGGATCCGGCCTTTCGAGCCATTGGTTGTTTACAGCAATGACTCCGGTCCTAGTTCCATATCATAACTAGTTTTAAAATTATGAATAGTATTTGCTTCCCCAACCTGTTCCTGAAGTGCATTCCATTTTTCCACTACTCTCATGCCAAAAGAAAACTTCCTAACAACTCTGTG